TTTTTCAGAACTAGGGATTGGACTCATACCCTTGTGTTTGCCAGGCAAGTGCTTATTCTGCTGAGCCATCTCCAATGATTATTACATGAAATTAAGTGTACTACAAACAAAAAGTCATTTTAAGAGTTTTCTATGTCTAATAAGGTTTTCTTAGGTATAGATCTAATGTTGGTAAAATTTACAAAATTAGACTAAGAAACAAAATTTCCATTTTATTAAGACCAACTTATGTGTTTTCTGCTGTTGGGCTTTTGATTACTTAAGAAACTGAATTTTAAGACAGTTAAGGCTTATGTAAATATTGACTTGCAAAATATTTCCTTTGTTCAATTGTGGGATGCAGCTGAGCTGGAGATGGATTTCACATGCACAGCTAGAGCAAGGCCAGCCCTGAGGACACGAAGTGCCTGTGTTGAGCCAGACGGAAAAGCTGCCAAGCTGGTCCTTTCTCCACTGGGAGAGGGGCTCCCCTGTTATCAGCCTCTTCTTGGCTGTGTCAATAAACGCACAGCAGTGGTCAGGCAGTTCCTTTCCTCCCACCAGGAGAGAGGGCTCCACCTGACCTTAGCTTTCTGCATTCTGATCTTGTCCTTGTTTCTCTATCCTCCACCGTCCTCCTCCTGTGAATTTCAAGAGCTGCATGGGACATGGCAATCAATGTGTAATGTGGTTAAATGGAAAACTATTAGATTATTGTATTATTAAACTACATATATATAATATATACATATATGGAGAGAGAGAGAGAGAGAGAGAGAGAGAGAGAGAGAGAGAGAGAGATCTATGTATATTTGGGGACAAAATACCTATGGGTCTCAGGTGTACCTAACGTTTAAAAGTTTATGGAGTTAAAATTATGTAAGTCTACTGTATACAAAGTAAGTAACCAACTAGTGTCTCTTTTATACAATATACGTTGCATCTAGACCTTAAAAGTAAAGTAATACAACTTCAAGTCTAGGATTGTGACGCCTCCTGCCTTGTCTTGTTGCCCAGCAATGGTTTTCTATTCCTATTCTAGGTCTCCTCTGGTTCCAAATGCACTTTAGGATTGTTTTCTCTAGTTCTGTGAGGCGTGCTAGTAGTACTTTGATTGTGATTGCATTAAATCTGCATAACAGAGAATTGAGCATGGGCGCAGCGCGGGGCTCGCCTGAGCACAGCCTCGGCCTCTCTACGCCCTCCTTGCCTCGCCCTCGCGGCTGCCTCGCTCCTGCTCACTGCCGGAACATCTTCCACCATGGCCACCTCAGCGAGTTCCCACTTGAACAAAGGCATCAAGCAGGTGTACATGTCCCTGCCTCAGGGCGACAAGGTCCAAGCCATGTATATCTGGATTGATGGCACTGGAGAGGGGCTGCGTTGCAAGACTCGCACCCTGGACTGTGAGCCCAAGTGTGTAGACGGTAAGGCCACGCAGGGTGGGGCACAAGCTGGTGGGAGCACACAGGCCCAGGGTGGACACCGAGCAGCTGTAGACCAGCGCGAAGAACCCCTAGCTTGGCTTCTTCTATTTGCAAAGCTTTTCTAAGGCGGGGTGTTTCAGGTTTGATCAGTGCACATAAAAGTCCCTGCACAGCCTCCCAGTAAGTACGTCAGCAAAGAAACCCTTTAATTAAATGGAGTTTTGCCTATAAGCCAATGTATTGAGAAAAGAAAGAAAAAAGTCTAATTTATAGAGAGTGGAGAGTTTGACCATCCCTACTTAGCTGCCCATGAAACAAGCTCAGGAACCCAGGTTGAGCACCATTGTTTTTTTAATTGAAAAAAAAAAAATGCTGTCTAGTTTACAGACTCCTGGAGTACTGTGTTCTTTGCTCATCATTGGGTTTCTGGATGAAAGTATGCTCTTGGAAGTGGTTTGTGAATGGGACTGTTTGTTTCTTTTGTTAGGCCAGTTCTTAAAATGATCTGGTTACATATCCTTCCAGAGGCCATTAGAGTCATGACCTTAATTTTTCAGTCCAGAACAAATTATATCTCTGCACCCCAGGCCTCGGGAAAATGCCACCACCTGCCTACTCTGAGATAAGTTGCTTTCCTGATAATGCGCTCATTGGAGCGAGAGAGTGAACGACCATACCATGTAGCGTGTGCTGTGTACTGGCTGCGTGGCTGACGTTGTGCAGGCCCTGTTCATCCAGGGAGACAGTATGAGCTCTGCCTTTTGAGACCTCAGTAAGCTGGAGTGACAGCCTGACCTAAATGGCACGGGAACGTAGTTTTTTCTAGGACACAGAAGCAGAGCAGTCAGAAGATGGTGAGAGATGACAGACGAAGAAACCAAACTTTCCCTTATCTTCGTATTTGCAATAATTGCGGCACAGTTGTCGCCCATACCTAACACATAGAGACTCATTTAGGACAGAAGTCTGTGCTCTTCTTAGGTGGTGGTGGTTGTGATTTGTTTACTTCTTTAAGGAACTTGGGTAAAACAATAAATAAATACATGGTCTTACTTGGAACTCTCAAAGGACTGTAGGGATGTGTAGGTACAGATGCTGAAGGATCTAATGGTGGTGGCATTTGTGACTCATTTTAGAGATGGAAATGTAAACGGCTGGCTGTATTCTTGGCTGGGGAGTTCTGTACAATTGTAATTTAATTTTCTCACCTCTTTTTGTCCCAGAGTTGCCTGAGTGGAATTTTGATGGTTCTAGCACTTTCCAGTCAGAGGGCTCCAACAGTGACATGTACCTTATCCCTGTTGCCATGTTTCGAGACCCCTTCCGCAAAGATCCCAACAAACTGGTGTTCTGTGAAGTTTTCAAGTATAACCGGAAGCCTGCAG